AGTTTAACCGAAAACTACATTACCCATAGTTCAGCGCGTGATAACGGCTTCCGGGGTTGGTGACCATCAGCCTGTTAGCAGGAGACAGGAGAAAGGTGAGGAAATGTAAGATGTGGTGATGTTTGCAGCTCTCGGAGTTTTCATGTCTTTAAATGTTTTTATGCAGTTTCAGAAAAATTAACGACGCAATTTTTTTCTGCATTTCTGAGGAAATAAAACCCGTTTTTAGCTAATCTGACATAATGTGCAGCTGCCGAGCACCGTTAGCTGAGACAACACTCCTTTAACATTTAACTCAGATGAGTTAAATGAACTTTTCCGGTGTTTTCTTTCATTATCACGTCACTCAGAAGTCAGTGTGCCGTAAACTTTAGCCAGGAGCTAACAGGCTAACGTTAGCCGGCTGCTCTTCCTGCTCACTTCATCCTAAAGCGTGAAGCTGTGTGAGCTAATGAGACAGCTGTGAGACATAAATGTAACCACGTGGAATTTATTCAAACTTAGTTTGGTCTCTTATAGACAATACAAAGACTCCAAAGACACAACTTTATAAATTTGGTTCGTTTTAAGTTTCTTTTGACTTTTTTGTTTGTTCTTTACTTACTGTACTGTTTCGCGTGGCTACGGTGTCCTAAAGGTCCAAAACATCATTTCAACAGGTTTTTGTTTTATTTTTGCACAGCATAAAACTTTAAGATGTACTCGAGTACACACGTTGTTCGGATAAACTGTAGTTGACAGTGGCTGAGATACAAAAACGACAGTTTTCAGGTAACTTTCCTGTTTCGTAGTTGGGTTTAAACCTCAGAGGTCTGTGTCACCATGCAGGATGTGACCTATCAAAGTAAGTTCAGGGTTAACCCAGATTTAGAACCGCAGCTGTGAAGACAGGAGCATGTTGAGTCCTCTCTTTGAACATTTTCAGTGCAAATAAAAATCCTTACAGAAACTATGCAGGCACTCACATGGAGTTATTATTATTATTATTATTATTATTATTATTATTACATACGGTTCTATGTGGGAAGCTGTTTTTCTTTTTAATCATATAACACATGGAGGAGTTTGCTTTTCAAACACAGCAGACAAAATGTTTTGTTGACAGGAAACAAAAACCAATAAAGTTAAGTTGCTTTTAATGAAGATTACGCTCTTACAGTCTGACAGCAGGAGTTTGGTTCGAGCGCCACCTGCTGTCTCTGTCATTCAGCCTCCCTCTGCATGGCTTTGTGTTCAGGTGAGTGTGTGTGTGGATGTAGTGTCAGCAGAGCGCCGTGATGCCCCTGGAGGTGAGATGGCCGTTCCCTCAATGCCCCGCTCTGCCGTGGAGGGTCTCCAGCTCACTGATCATGGGCATGGTGGGCTCCTACTCCTACTTCTGGACCAGTAAGTTACAAGCTGAACGATAACTTGTACACTCTCGCTTATTAGCAGCAAACTGCACTTCTTTAAAAAGAAAATCAAGTCTCTTGGTTGCCTCCAACGGTCTCTGGGTGTTTATGCTCAGTGAGAGCATGAGTGACTCAACTGTACTGTTAAACAAATACACAGTACAGCACAGAGTCCACACGAGGACAAAGATAACAGTGATGTGGCTTCACAGAGGAGTTAGAGGGAAAGCGAGCTGCTAATATCAACGAGAAAAAAGCAAAGTTTGCGTTCATCTTATCAGAGAGGAAGCAGCCTGCAGGCCAAGGCTGGAGACTTTATCAGAAAGCCGTTGTCTGCTTTTCTCTTGCTTTTCTTCTGGCTAATATTGTCTAACTCTGCTTCCTGATGTTTGCTGAGGTCACATTCATCCATATCTTCAGTTAATTTTCTGGGTGTCACTCAGAGACCCTTCGACTGATCCTGCCTCCTGCTCTTCTTCCTAAGAGTACATGAACTGCCTGACGGTCCACAACCACGAGGTTCTGTTGAACCTGGTTGACCAGAGGCCTTCGGACACGCCCCTCATCACTCTGTCCAACCACCAGTCCTGTATGGATGATCCGCACATCTGGGGTAAGAGCAGACACTCGATCTGAAATCTCACTGCTGGTTAACACTTGGATGGTAACGGCGTGTGTTTGCGGCAGGCGTCCTGAGGCTCAGGCAGCTGTGGACCTTCAAAAAGATGCGATGGTGAGCTTCATCTCGTTTCTTCTGAGCTTCAGCCTGTTCATGTTTTAGAAGCAGTGACGTGTAATTTTCACTTACCTGTGATTGGACAGGACACCTACAGCATCGGACATCTGCTTCACTAAAGAGCTGCACTCCAGGTTCTTCAGCCGAGGGAAGTGTGTTCCCGTCTGCAGAGGTGAGCCCATCTGAGCGCATCACCACATGAGCCAAGCATCCGAGCAGAAGTCTGAACGTCAGTTTGTTGTCCTGTGAATGAAAGAAAACCTTCAGCAGACTTTTTCTTTCTTTCCATTATTTAACAAGGACAACACACGAACACAAGTATATCAAACATACTGTAAACCTGGCTGATTATAGCAAAACTGCAAATTTCCACAGTCATGCAGCCAGTCGCATTAAACTTAGTAATAACATGAATATAAGAGAAAACAAAAAGCCTTGACATAAATGGGACAAGTCCATGTAGACTCTTACAAGCAAACAGGCACACTGACATTGTTACATGATGTTATTTAAGTGATCAAAACGTGTGTGAAACCGTTTTGTGTGCTGTCTGTAGGTGATGGTGTTTACCAGAAAGGAATGGACTTTATTCTGGAGAAGCTGAACAAAGGAGAGTGGGTGCACATCTTTCCAGAAGGTCTGTGAACCTCCTCACATGTCATTATTTTTTTTCTTACTGTGAAAATGAACTCTTCTTCTTCTCTGATTTTTTTCAGGCAAAATCAACATGACGGAGGAATTCATACGTTTAAAGTGGGGTGAGCGCAGTTTGTGCGTCGCTGTTGGAGCAGATGCCGTGCTGTGATAATCAGTGTGAACATTTGTGCTTCTGTGGTTTCAGGTGTTGGTCGGCTGATAGCGGAGTGCCCGCTTAATCCGATAATCCTGCCGCTCTGGCACGTGGGTGAGTGACGCTCCTGTTATGGCTTCAGAATATCTCAGACTACAGATTAAGATGTCACCACAAGACATTAGCAAGGTAGCAGCAGTCTGATGGATTAAGGTCGGCGAACAGCGCCACGCAGTGATGCAGGTACAGAGGAAACGCATCACTTCTTCTCTGCTTCCTGTCAGGTTTGAGCGACGTGCTGCCCAACGTGGAGCCCTACATTCCTCGCACGGGCAAGGTGAGACGCCTTCAGTCTGACTCCAGGATGTGTTTTTTGTTTTTAACATATTTCGTTGTCTTCCAGAGAATCACCGTCCTCGTGGGGAAACCGTTCAGTGTCAAAGATCTCGTTGAAACCCTCCGAGCTGAAAACAAGAGCCAGGTGAGCACGGCTTCATTTAAGGTGCTGTCATGAAGTTCGCTGACACCAGCAAGTAAAAAAACAACAAAAAACTTCTTCTGTCAGATAAAACAGGAGATTTCAGGACGTCACCATGATCGAATCCTAACTAACTCTCAGAGATTTCACTTTCTCAAATGTAGAAAGTAATTATAACAGATACTGAATGTACGTTTCAAATTTTCCCCTCAGTTGGAAATGAGGAAGACCCTGACGGATTTCATCCAGGTGGAGTTTCGGAGCCTGAAAGCCCAGGCCGAGGCCCTGCACATGCAGGTAGAGACCAGATCCTGAGTCCTAGCCGTCCTGCGTTTGCCTGCAGACACTGGTCCTTCACACATCAGCCCTGAGGATAACACCCCATATACAGAGAAGCTCCCACACCTCCACACGGAGACATCACTGAGCCTCAGAGTGTTTTGCTGACAGTCGTAAACGAGCATTTCTGTAACTTTGGATGCAACAAACTCATTTTGTAATTCAGTTATTGCTTCAAAATCAGGTTGGTCCACTGCACACCTAAACAGGACGAGTAGCACTGCAGATGTGTGAATGATTGATTACATATGAGTACATGGTTTCTCTGGGACCCTTTACAACCAGAAGCCCTCAGGAGAATTTCTTTTACCTCCTTGGTATCAGAAGGCATTTTGACTTTGATGATTCAGCTTTTCATGTCATCCAACTTTGAAGTCCAGAGCAGCAGCAGAAGCTGGCGTTGAGTCTGAGGAGGAGAGAGGAGGTCAGGTGATGGATGGGCGAGTAAAGGGGCCACCTCATGACCTTTGTGTGTGTGGGGGGATTGGGGGGGGTGCGGTGAACAATAGCCTTGAACTTTGTTTTTTTCTTACTGGTGAAACACACAATAGATCTCAAAAGGGCAGCAAACCAAGACTAGTTAACTAAGTCCCAGTTACTAGGGTGAGCACCTGGTGACTGCCTGGCAACCACCAGTCACTATGCATGAATAAGTATTTCCACCAGGTCAGGCTCTAAGTAACAAGGAGGTTTTTCACCTAGCAACAGACAGCAGCCGCTCACCGACGGGTCATGGAGTTCACGTTTTATCTGGTAACTTGTTGTCAGTGTGGGAGAAATGATCCTGCTCTGATCGGGCTCTGAATGCTTTTCTCAGTTTTGCTGAATTGTTCAATTTTGATGATCTGTTTAACAACCAGTTCTTTTTTCTTTAAGATGTAAAGCTGCTGTTGTTTAAACTACTAAATATTAGTACTCGTCATGCTCCTCTGTGCATGAGGAAGTCAAAGTGCTGCATGCCAGATGTTTGCAGCTGTTATCAGAAAGATGCTCAGGCAGTAAATGATTGTTGAGGTAATCGTACTGTTATGTTTGATCATTGGATCGCTCCTTGCTGTTTTTCAGTCATCTCTTAGTTGTGTTGATAATTTTCTTTTTCAATCAAAGTTTTCCTGTTAATCCTAAAAACCCCTGAATGCTGCCCCCTCACCGATGTACAGAACTTATTTTATCACAGAGGACAAAAAGGATTTTATAAGGGACAAAATCTGTGCTAATTTTATAAGTGCATCGCCTTAATGTGATTGCCACTCTTTCCTATACTTGATGTGAAGTCCAATAAAGAATCTGACTTTTCTAAGTTTGAATTTGTTCCATTTGTGGTTCATCTTTAAACTCTGCACCATTCTAACAGATGCACGAACAGTTTGGTGGCATTATGAGTGCTTAGCAAACCTTACACTTCATGTAGACAAAGTGTGCATTAAGCCACTAAAGATGATCAGTTTATGCTAAATAGTTAATGTTTCCATATTTTTGTAGAACTTAATTTTTAAGAAGATGTTTCTTTGAAAAGTTAAATATTCTCACTTTGGATGATTAATTGGACATGTCGAAGGGAATTACGGTTTCCAATATATCTGTTACAGTAAATAATACTTATATTTGTATTTAAAAAAGAAAGAAAACATTTAATAACATTAAATGACATTAAAATAATAGTATCACGTGAACAATAAGTCATGGTTATTTGCCATTACTACATTGTGTCTAATATTAGCAAAATAAAACAACACTTACAAATAATAGGATATTAAAACGTTGATACATTTGAAGTAAAAACAAAAATTCCTTTTTCACGTCCGCCGCTGCGCCGTCTGGTCACGTGATCTGGTCAAGTGATCTCATGGAACGTCACGAGCGTGCTGTCAGAGGCTGTAAAGATGGCGGCGGGGGCACTGCAGCGGCGGCGCATCACTGCGGCTGTGGCCGTTTTTCTCGCTTTGTTGAACGTGTTGAAGCTGGCGAGCTGCGACGAGCAGGTGCCGCTCCTGCTGTGGACCAGCGGAGGGTACGTAGCCGTGAAGTTTCACTGATTTTGGTCCCGTTTACGCGGCTCCTTCTGCGACCTCAGCGGCTAACGGTTAGCCGTGAGAAAAACAGCGGACAAAAACTATGTTCTCTGCTTCGTCACCACAGTACACGGCCCGGAAAGCGTTTAATTTGAGAGGACTGGCTGAAAGACGAGGTTAAGTCAGAGAACGTGACATGAGAATATCCTGCAGGCCCAATGAGTGACGGGTGCAGTCCACCTGACAGCTAGCAAACACTCCTGCATCTGTCTGTGCTGCCTGACACAGAAGACAGCGCAGCATGTGTTATCAAAGGCTTTAATACTGTAAACTCTTTGGAGAATAAAAACGAATAAATGATGTATTTGACGGCCTTTGATGAGGGTCTTCGGATGTGAGAAGTTCACATTGTGAAATAAAACAAGTGAAGTGCTTGGGTTTTTCTCCTGTTTTAATAATATTCAATCATCTGTATCTGCAAGAAAATCAGGAATGTGCTCTTTGACGTGATGCAGGTTTATCTGCAGATAATTTGGTCCTCACTCATGAAAGGCCATATACGTTCTTGCAGATGGTTGAAACGACAATAATAAAACTGCTTCACTGTGAATCCATCCATTGTAGAGGACTCTTCTTGTTATGTAGCAGCACCTCATGACTCCTCCACCTGTGCTTGGTGTCTCCTCCAGCATCTCCCTGCCAGCTCAGGCTCCTCCAACAGCCGGGCACATCGTTGGGCAGCAGCAGCTGGCCTCCTACCTGGAGAAAGCTCTGGACGTGGGACCACATAACATAGTCCTCTTCCTTCAGGACAAGGTAAACACCTGAGCCCTCACGCTGTTGTTGAGCGTCCTTGATTTTTTAAAAAATTTCTTCTGAGGCACTGAAGCTAAACACAAGCACAAATGCTCCTCATCTCGTTTGCTTTTGTATGGACCGTCCCGTTTATGTGCATGATCATGTAGCCTTTTCACATTTATCAGAAGTTTTGGTATTTCTTTATTTATTTTGGTCAAGACTTTTAAAACTAATGGCAGACGGCCTCACAGGTCAGCAGTGTTTGACTGAAGGTTAAAACCGTCTCTCACACTTTCTCTTTGCCCTCTGTGGTCTAAAATATTTATGACTCATTGTTTTTCCTCTCGGTCTTCAGATGAGCATCGAGGACTTCACCATGTATGGAGGAGCCTTTGGGAACAAGCAGGATAATGTGTTTCCAAACCTGGAGGTATTATCACGACGAAACAAACCAAACAGAACGTTTCCGGTTTACTCTCAGGTGTGTGTCGGTCACTCGTGGTTTTTCTTCTGTCACAGGGAGCTCTGATGTCATCATCCTCCTCTCTGATTTTACCTGCTGTTTCCTGGCCTGCATCCAATGCAGTGATTGGCCAGCTGCAGGACCAATTGGACACCTCCCCTCTGTACATGGACCCTGAGACGCTGAGCCAGCTGAGACTGAACGCCTCCTCGCCTGCTCTGCTCGTTTTCAGACTGCCCTACGGCATCGGGTCTGTTGACTGTTCAATAATTAACCGTTAATGGGATTTCCTGCTGTAAACATTTTATACTGCCAGAACTTTGTGACATATAATCAGTCATCCTCTGTCTTGGACTGCAGCTGGTAGTTTTGCTCATTTTGAGCTCAGTGTAGCTCAGTGGACTGAGTTCACATAGAACAGCTGTGGTCATGTCCTCCAGGAGGCTTTGATCCTGTTGTAATGGTTTCTAAACGGGCCTTGATGTCGCTGTTTGTACATTTTCTAAAAATTGAAATTCAATTTCTCAAACATCACACGGTAAAGTTAAAGAGGTAATTTTCTAGAAGGGAAATAACCCACACACTTCGTCTGGATGAGCTTTAAAAACACTGAAGCCTCTCCTCCAAAGACATTAAGACTCATCCGTCCTTCATGGCCTCGTTTGTCGTTTCAGAGCTGATCTCTTGTCAGCGAAAGAGATTCTCAGTGGAAACGGTGAGTGTTTAATCTGACCCAGTGACTGTGGAGCTCATAGACTCTGAAGCATGCAATTCTCACAATCATCTGTGAGCTTTTTATTTGCTTTTCCTGTGACTGTTTTCTCTGACGCGTGTTTTTCAGATGAAGTGATTGGTCAGGTGCTGAACATCATGAAGTCGCAGTCTGTTCCGTATACGGCTATCTACACCGCCCTGCGGCCCTCCAGGGTGAGTCCGAGTCTCATTCAGGAACATTTATACGTGTTTGCAGCCATTTTTCATACCTGACCCCCTCCCTCCATCTTTCTTTTTCTACACAGGAGGCAGCGTCTCTCTCTGTGGAGGCCGGTCTGGGTGGGGGGCGCTCGCTGCTGCAGGTCAGAGGGGGATACAAGGAGAGGGGTAGAGAACGGGAGAAGCAGCGGAGGATCAAGGAGAGGGCTGGAACGTACCCACCCGTCGAGTTCAAGGTGGAGTCACAGATACCTGAGCAGGACT